GGCACATCTGGGCAGGGAGTGCCCGGTGGAGGCCGAGTGCTGTGCTTGGGGACAGGGATTCGAGGTTTCCCTCGCGCATGATGAAATGCTCCAAAATTAGACGATAGTGATGCCACGATTCCGTAAAGCACGCTGAGATCGTTGGGCTGTGCGCGCTGGACGAGCGGACTTTACGGTATGTAAACTCTTACGTAGACACATCCCACAGAGCTGTTACAGTGTTTGTATGACGGCACGTGACCGTGTGTGTGTACATGTATGTGTGTGTGTGTGCACGTCCTCGTTCGGGCAGGGTGGCGTGGCAGACCGTGTTCCTGCTGGCTCCACAGACCTCCCAGCTTGTGGGTTTGAAAACCAAATTACAGGTTGGAAGGCCGCAGAGCGGCTTCTCCGGGCCCTGCACTTCCAGGGTTCACTAGAAAGGGGGACGGGCTGGGCTGTGGCCAGAGCAGCCCTGCAGGCGTAAAGGGAGCCAGCAGCGGCAGCAGCAGGGGGAGTCCTGACGGCTGCGGGCCCAGCCTCCCTGACCTCTGCCGGGTCCCTCTTGTCCCTGGTATCATCCAACAGGTATCTGCTGAGTACATCCATGCTCCAGACATCGGGCTTCCACGGCAGCCCTACGGCTGCCCCTGGGGCTACGACCTTTCTCCCTGGACTGTCCCCTCCACCCCCCACCTCACTCCTCCCCTGCCTTGGTGGGGTTGGTGGGACAGAGTGAGTGAGGCAGAGCCCAGCCAAGGCCCTGGGTCCGCCCACAGATTAATGGAAACCACCTGGCGCGCTTGGCCCCTCCAGCCCCCCCTGGCTGTCACTCCCACCAGCGTCTGCTTCTAATGAGCGCTGGGCATCGCTGCATACCAGCCGGGCTCATTAATCTCATTAGGCAATGACAAATCATCCTGGGGCCAGCCAGGCAGGCTCCCTCCCCACGCCCTTTCCTTCAGCCCCACCGCTGGCCTCTGGGGGCCGCATGCACACAGACCCTGCCCCGCATGGCGCAGCCCAGGCCCCTCTAGCTCCTTTGGCTTCTCCTGGCTAGCTGCCCCATCGCCAGCTCGGCCCCTGGTCTAGACCAGCTCTTACTGGGACCAGGCACTGTGGGAGCCCCAGCTGTGGTCACTGCAGGGGGCAGGGCAGGAGGGAAAGGAGGAGCCATCTCCCCTGAGTGGAGCAAGCACTTTCAATCCCATCCCCAAGGCAGCCCAAGGCTGGGGGCCTCAGAAATGTGTGCAGATGCCTGGAGGGCCGGGTGAGCCTGGTGTCAGGGCACCCCAGACAACGTGTGACAGCCCGCTCTCCAGGTGAGTAACCCCAGGCTTGGAGAGGCACCCAGCAGGTCCACGACAGAGCCTGTCCTCCCGACTCCTCTTTGCCCAGCCTCTCCCAGCCCGTCCTGTCCAATGGGAGACACACAGGCTTAGCCATGCTGAGGGGTGTGGGTGCCGGGCAGAGGGGGCTCTGAGGTAGGCCTCGCACTGGCTGGGCCCTCCTGCATACTCCCAGGGGGCCAGGCACTACCTCTGCTGAGCCTGGTTCAGGTCTCCCACCCACCTGACTTGACTATAGAAGGGATCCCCTACCTCTCCCACCCCTAGCTGCTAGGTCCTCCACCCAACCCTGCTGCCTGTGCCCAGGGCGCTCACCCAGACTGAGGTCTGCTCCTGTGCCCACTCCCTCCCAGCTCAGGGCTCTGCCTGGCAGGTACACCCAGGTCTACTTCCTGCTCAGTACGCAAGGTGACCCAGCCCCCACGTTCTTGAAGGCAGCCCTGAGGCTGGCACAGGGTGGCCGGGTGGGCACTTCCCGCAGCAGGCAGGACCCACTGTTCAGTCAGTAGACTAAGTCAGCCTCACGGGACTTGCCACGCTCAGACCTGCAGAGCAGCCGTGGAATGGGAAGCTGCCCTGGCCTCCCGGTCTGCCCAGGCTGGACCGCCGAGCCAGGAGCACAGAGAGAACAGTGTTCCCTGAACGCCGAGTCCATGCAGGCCGGGCGCCACCCTCGGATGAATAGGCCCACAGTCCGGGGGTCATCTGGTGACCAGCCCCCAACCCGGCGGGGCGGGGGGCATGAGAATCGCCTGCACATGGGACATTCCCAGGCCCCTCGTCTACTGGCTCAGAAACCCCAGGAGCGGGCCCAGGAGCCCTGACTTGGGGCCCCCCTCTCCACTGAGCCGGCGCCTGAGGGCCGGGTGATAGTATCCAGTGCTTTTGTCAAATGCCAACCCAGCCACTGCCATGAGGGTGTTCTATAGAGCTGACCCTAAGTAAAGACTAGTCCTGACGAGGCGGGTGGGCCTCACCCAATTGGCTGAAGGCCGTCAGAGCAGAACTGAGGCCAGCCCTGGTGTGGATGCACGGGAAGGACCCGGCCCTGTCTCGTGGTTTCCTTGCGTGCACTGGGTGCGTGCCCATGACCCGGGCTGGCTGGGGCTGGGGTGGATCACGCTGTGAGAACCCCATTGGGGATACTTATCTCTCTTGTCTCTCTCATGGAAGAGATAGATAAACTATAATTTTTCAAAACGTTGCAGGGTGGGGACCAGCAGGTGGCATGGTGGTTAAATCAGTGCTGGACACTCCCACAGGGCTGACCATGTGGGCACAGGTGCATACATGCCCAAGATCCCAGGAGGAGACTGGAGGAGAAGGGACTGTGGTGTGGTCATTTCCCCAAGGCGGTGATTTCTCACTTTCTCTCTCACCTTCTTAGTCTCTCTAGGCAAGTGCACACGCCCCAAGGCAAGAACCTCTAAAGAAAAGAGAGAGAGAGAGAAAAAGCACAGCAGGTGTCCTGGGGGAGAAATTCTGCCAAGACTGCAGCCTCGACTCCCTCCTGGCTCTGCAGCCCTCTGGCCTGCCCCATGGGTTCTGGACATGCGAGTCCTCACAGCTGTGGAGCCAGCTCCTTCCCGTAAATGTCCTTAGGTTGCTACGATCAGCCAGGTAGGAGAGCCTGCGTCCGCCCTCCCGGCTGTGCACAGCACCTATGCCCGGGGCCCTCTCTGAGTGTCCATATGGCACTGTGGGACTCACGCACGTCCAGGAGCAGAGGGTTGTAAGGCCATGGTGCTCCCCGCAACTCGCCCTCAGCCCCGCGCCCCTCTTACAGAGGAAGCTGGGGCCCCACGCTGCTCACTCCCCGTCCTGTCCTCCCTGTCCTCCTCCTTCTGTTCCCAACTCCACCCAAGTGGCTTCCTGCCTGCAGGCCTCAGGCTCAGCCCCCTCCCGGGGCAGCCTCCTGGTCCTGTCTGCAGGGGAGGGCTCAGCGCAGGGGAGTCCTCTTCAGGCCTGGTGCCCCGCCATGGCCACAGTGAAGCCCAGGCCGGCTCCTCTAGCCTCCGGTGGGTCCCCTATTTCTCCATGTGGAGGGTGCCCTCTGAGCCTGATTGTGTACGTTTGGCGGGTGGATGGGAGAGCCAATTTTTCGTCCTTGTCAGAAGACGTGCCCTCATGATGGAAGGACGAGGAGCAAGGGCAGGCTGAAGCAAGAGGACAGGGTGGAAGACGTCAGTGAGGCCACTGGAGGTCAAGAGGATGAGGAAGAGCAGCTGAGGCAGGCTACCCGCCTAGTGGGCGCGGAGGGCGCAGAGGCGGTGTTGCGCCTTCTTGCAAAGGAGCACCCTTCCCGCAGCTCAGCCCACATCTGGCCCAGGCCTGAGCGGGCTAAACCACTGTGGGAGGAACGCACCCCTGCTGGCTGGGCCGGGAGACCAGGGCAGGTGCAGCCCTGTGTCGCTGTCGGTACTCTGCAGGAGCCACAGGGCAGAGGGTCTGAAGGATCTGTTGGGTGGCTGCGTGCATATGCTGCCGAGACCCCGGCTGCACACCGGTGAGGACGAACTGCCCTACCCGCCTCCCACTAGCCAGCCAACCAGGCTCATTCTCCTCCCTGCCTCGCCTCGGAGGGCCAGAGGCCGTGGTGGAGCTGTCGTCCACGCACAGGTCCCGCAGACGCTGCCTGTGGGCTGACGGCCCCCCACTCATGCCCTACACACGGCAGCGTCTGGGGCCTCGGTTGGGCTGCAGCCTGCCTCGTCCCGTGGTGTTTGCCGTCCCTCCCAGTGCGCTGATCCAAGCTTTGGGGCAAAATGGTCCCCGAGGGGCCCAGGGCAGGTGGGGAACCAGAAGCCTAGCAGCAGCGGGAGATGGGGGGTGGGCAGAAGCAGTCCCCACGAGGAACAGGAGGCCAGGTCTCCCCTGAGAGGGCCCCAAAGCCACGGTGCAGGCTGTGGTTCCTGAGTTTAGAGGGGTCACTGGACCCCTAAGTGGCTCATGCCACGCGGGGTGGGTCTGGGACCCAGGGCTCAGCAGGGCTCAGCAGGGCTCACCTGGCCTCCCCAGGAGCCCTCTGGCTGGCCTCGGGTGGTAGGGCGTCTGCATTCCTACTGCCCTAACTCTGACCAGCCTCTAGTGCCCCCACCAGCCCTTTTCCGCGGCCCCACAGCCTCCGGGCCCCCTGTCTTAGGGCAGGAAACTCTGGGGGCTGGGCCAGGCCGTCCTGGCCAACCGAGGATGCTGCTGAGCAGGGCAGTGACGTGAAAATGCCAGCTCTCCCCCTGGGTCCGTCCTGGCCGACCGAGGATGTGACGGGAAAATGCCCGCTCTCCCCCTGGGTCCCCACTTTGCCCCTTGCGCTTTGTTTGTTGATTTGCTTTTCGGAAGGAGGACGGAGCCTGAGCGACCTCAGGCCGCAGTCACATTAAGCCGCTGAGGCCCTTTCATGCTGGGCCCCCAGCTGGGAGGAGGGGCCTTGGGCTCAGCCCTCAGGGCTAATTGCTCATTAAAGAGCGTTAATGAGCCTCTTTGCGCATCCCTGGGCGGCCTCTCCACTGCGGAGGCTGGCCAAGGAGCAGGTCCCTGGCCCAGCCCAGCCTCCTGCCCTGCGCCTGGTGGCCAGGTCCCAGGCAGGGTCCCAAGGGCTCCGACTAGGCCAGTGTTGCCTGAGGTCGCAGCCTCCCGCCATCGCCACCTCCACCCACCCTGCCCGGCACTTACAGCCTCTCCAGCAGGTGCAAGCCCAGGAACGACCCGCGGCGGAGCACAGTGATCTTGTTGTTGCTCAGGATCCTGTGGGACAGGGACAGACAGACGTGCCGTTACGCGCAGGGGAACGCAGACAGGGGCGCCCCCCAGCCCACTGCTGGCTGTGTGGATGGTGCCCCTGGGGTGTGCAAGGTAGCAGCCTGCTCTGAGTTGGGGCTGCAGGGAGAGGCCGGCGGCCGCCCCAGGCGCCCCCCCGCCCCCCACCGCCG